CGTCGATGTTAAGCCTAACGAAGACTATTGTATCGTTAAAAATTATTTTTTTATTTTGTACAAACAAAATAAATTTATTGAAAAATATAAAAACATTAAAAAAATATACTTCAGATGTTAATTTAGTATCAAAAACGTAAAATATTTGAGTAGCCCGAGAAATAGCCGAAGATTGCAGCGTCACAGCACTAGCGAAAATTTAAATTTGCCTACTGGAATGCTTTCGGATAACGGACGTTTCGGATAACCGACGCTCTACTGTATTACTATATCCCATGTAATTAGTATATCGCTATTAACCTACTTCGCGTTGAATTTTCATCGATGTTAAGCCTAACAAGTTTTTTTAAAAATAATAATTGTCGCTATTGTATCGTTAAAAATTATTTTTTGAATTATTTTATTGCTCACAAAATAACAATTCATAATTAGAAAATTAGGTCTCGTTTAAATACTGGCCTCCCTTTCACGGTCGAGCTAGTGTTGCCAGCTAAAACGCAAAAATTTAAAAATAATAATATTAAAGTAGCCAAGACATAGCCAAATATTGTAGCGCCACATCACTAGCGGACATTTGAAATTTGCCTACGAGAACGGTCGGTTAACCGATGTGACGGTTAATCGGGGGTCGGATAATCGATGCTCTACTGTATGATGGTAAGCCTATTTATTTTTTATTTGTTTTTGGGTTATCCGAAAGCTGAAAACGATTAAAATATTTATTAATTGCGAAAATGTATACTATATGTGACACTATTTTCCTTCATTATTTTCACTTTATACTGACTAAAACTCTCACCCCTCCTCTTTCCTTGTGGGAATGGAATTTCCAAAAATCCCTTCTTAGTGTGTACTCTCATGACGTACAATAATAAAACGCAGTTCAAAACACAAAAAATCGCATCTAAAATAGTACAGTATAAGCTGAGTTCTTTAGTGTAATCCTTAATCCTCTCCTGCGCTGGGGAATTTCAAAAATCCTTTATTCGTGTACGTTCTAACGACGACCGTGTATTAAATTTCAACTCCTAACCGTTTGGTCTCTGCGCATATCATCATCAACCCACCTCAATTATAAGTTTATTTTTCGCTACGTGTAAACTAGCAAATCGAATGGAGATAGAAATTTATTGATTTACAGAAGCCCAACAGATATTTTGATGTCTGATGTACTTTAAGTTAGGATTATGTAAACGTAACTGCCGAGTTTCATCGCAATTGGTCGAACGGCCTAGGAATGTATAGCGAACAAACATTCTCATTTATATATATATAGATATGTAAATGTGAATTCCTTATAACTCTTGCAATTTTTGTTCAATCCAGATGAAATTTTGGTTATATCCGTTTTATGTTTCGACGAAAAGTATAGAACGAACGTTTTATAGATTTCGGATCAGTGATTGCAGTTACGTTGCCCTGACGTTCTACTATTCAGACGGAAGTAACGATCTAACCAGCCCGTTATTAAAGTATTAGCGCTCATCTAACTAACGTACTGTACTACATGGAATTTATCTTTTGTTTTATCAACGTGGAATTAAGAAATGGCTTTTACAAGGGCTGCAGAAACAGCATCACAACGTCAATCATCAAAACAATATTAAGATGATTATTACTAAAGGAAGACAGCAAGGAAACCTTTTAAAAGACAATAGAATGTTTACTCAAAACGTAGTATATAAGGAAATTTTATATAGATTTTAATATTATTCTAATATAAAGGCATCATTCTGTTTGTGTGTGTAAGTGAATTCTCTGTAACTCCTACTTTTTGTCCACTTCAGATGAAATTTTGTTTTATTTCTCTTTATGTTACAACAGATAGTATAAACTACTTAATTTGTAGAATTAGCAACTCTTCTTGAAATCTCTTGTTCTCATAAAAAAAATTCCCTGTCATGCTTGACGAGGAATTTCTAGTATGCAATAACGTGATATCTTACACAAAACGCTATTTGTCAGGAAGATATGATGATGGATTCTGCATTCTGTCAGACTATTAAAGTATGCTTGTATGGGGTGGTACTGATACAGAGTATGAAAATTTGAAAATGGACAATACAGGAGATCAAGACTGATAATAAAACTGGGTCTATAAATATGACCTGGAAGCATAGTAGTAACTAGCAATCTGAACATCTTCAGATGAACCAACATCTATGAAAGTCTCAGAAGTGTTTACTGTCATGTAGTGGCTATGTTCTTGACCGAAGTAGTCAAGTTGTAACTGTATGTCTAGAGAATCTAATGACTTTCACTGTAGTAAGCATATCATTTATCTACTTAATACAAGTCTTTCAAATTGTTGGAGATATCTAAAGATCAAATTTCAGTATATCCTGCTACAACATAATGCTTCAGAACACATGTTGATGGGGACAATGGATTTCCTTATAAAATTAAATATTCATCTAGTTAATCATTCTAGTCCAGAACAGATACCTTTGATCTACTTTCTATTTCCAAAGTCAAGAAAGTGCTTTTTGAACAGCATTTCCAAAGTGCAAAAGAAGTGCAACTTCTGTCTACAGACAGTATATTGAAAGCAATTCAGAAACTGCACAGTGTGATTATTTAAAAAAATAAATATAGTAGACAGTCTATATACAATTAGATATGCACATGAAAATCATGTTTTTGTGTACATATGTATATATGAAGTTTAAAATTAAGTTTATTCTATAAATTGAACAGATTTTAAATAAAAAATGCAAATATTGGTGGTTTATCTATATACTACTAGAAGTCAGATTATTTGGTTTGTTATAATTAAATACAGAAAATGCAACACAAAATACCACCACATTTTTAAGAATTCTATACCCCAAATGAGAATAGAAACAAAACAAGTTTTGCTAAAATTGAGCAATGGATTATTGAGTTATTGCTGTGCATTCTGCTGATATCATTTTAGTCATCAATTACTGTCTTATAACTATACTTAAATCATCTGGTGAGTTAATTTTGGTATTATCTTGCATTCTCTAACTTCTGAGTATTAGGTGACCAACCGGGTTGAGGATATAGTAGTATATAATGATAAATTTGATTATAACTTAGATAAGAGTTGTAATCATTTAAAATTTATTTATACAATATATACAAAATAGAATGGCTGTCCTCTATACACTTCTAAACCATTTGACATATTCATCTGTATCTTACCAACCTTACTCAGGAAAAAATACAAATCAAATGTCAGTTGCATTTGAATAGAACAAAAATTTTTAAAACATTCTAGAATAAATATTTCAAATGTTGATAGCCAGATCTTTGGAAGTTATAAATAAATGAAAATATAAAGATGTGTATGTAAAACATATATAAAAATAATATAAGAACAAGTAATAACAACTGAGTATGAGCATTACCCCCAATGTGCATGTTATCAGTTCATATAATGTCACTTAGCATATATTTTAGAAAATGCTCTTCATGCCACAGGTTACAGCATCAGCTCACACCTTGTCTTGCAAGACTAAGATTAAAACCCGAGATGATCCAAGGTTTATTTTGAGGGGAATCTATAAAATGAGATATGCTGAGGTGTTACACATCTATAAAATACTACTATTATCTATCATACAGTATCATCTATTCTTTATAAATTTTTAGCAGTAAGTGACTAAACTGGTAACAGGTGCTCTAGTTTACTATAAAGAATATATACAGTATATGCATGATAATCAAATATTTCAAATTAAATACAAATAGAAATAAACTACTTACTTAAAATAACACAATAAAAATAAATACAGTATGCTATTGCTTTTGGTTAATCAATTATCTTCAGGTATAAAACTCAAAGCATGACCAAATGGCATTGCCACAGATATTGGGCATTAATGTAAGAATGAAATGGAAGTACAATCAACATTAAAAAAAAGGATATAATAAGAAACATAACATGATTTTTCAATGCCTAAAGACATCTAATTAACTAAAAATGTTAGTGCATTTGTTTTTCCTTTGTGTTTCAATTTATAAGTTAAATTGAAATAGCAAAAAATATGAGAAAATTCTAACTTGTTCTCAGTCCATCCGATTATCCCTAACAACCCTAATTTCTCCAAACACTGAAAAAAATTTCTATTTATTTATTATACTAAAATTATGGACTGTGACATTAAACACTATAAACTCTGATTGCCTTACTAAGAAACACTTAATGAAGTCATGAAAGAATATGTTTGCAAGAATGCTTACAGTCTTTGAGTACTCCTATTATAAATTGTATATAAACTGCATTTTCTTTAATATGCAGTAGACAACAATAAAAAGAAATGAGCTGAAAGAAGTCATTCAACCAAAGAAAATTCATCACAGAATTTTAATGAGTTTTCTGATTTGTGAGATAAAATTCATTCAATCACATGAACCTGACATGGTACGGTACTACCTGACTACCAATTAATCCAAAATAAAATGAGATAGTAAGCCTACTATAATCAATTACATATCTCATTACATTCTAAAATTAAAATGTTTGAAACATTATAAAAATGCTTTAATGGAACAAAACAGCATACAAAAAGAATTGTAGTGCATTTGAGTACTAAGTAAATAATCATCCTAAATAATGATTTTAAAAAGTTATAAAATTACGATACTATAGTCATGTATTGTTGTAATCATTACATAAAAACAATTACAAGATAAATTTATAGCATAAGCTAAACTGCTGAACATTATCAAATTTGTAAATTTATCAACAAAAAAAATAAAATAAAAAAATGTAATGCAAAACAAACTGAATTTGACAAGTTCAAGATTTAAACATAATAATTACTTTACATATATAACAAATTGTTTCCATATTTCAAAATATAGAAACAATTTGTATATTTTTGTTAATTGTTAATATATTTAAATAACTCAAAAACAGCATAGTAGATTGTTACTTGTGTAGTATCTTTTGATATTTGCTATTAAATTATTGTACCTTATTTTTATATTATTTTAATAACAAATAATTTTGATTACAGAATATGACTTACCTAATTGCTGAAATGAAGTTCAAACTGATAAGGAAGTTTTATGACGATATATGTTTTGATGATGAGTGTTACATAATAAATAAAACCAAAAAATAATTTAAATGTTCCATTTCAAAACTGTTGATATTTCCATCTGAAATTAATCCTCTTTTTATTACTTCTCTTAATAAATTTGTATTTTTGAGAATTTTATTCATATTTTATCTAATAAAGTATATATATATTTAAGAGAACTGATTGTTTTATTATAAATAAAGTATATGAAAATAATTTTAAAATATTAAATTCCTATTTAAAAGCATATTTTTAAATCTAAAAAGTAAGCTGTATAGACAATATTATATTTATCTTCTATTTAAATTTCTTCATAATTTTCACATATTTACTGTATTTATTCTAATAAACAGTATCCTCTAATAATAAATATTTTATCTATTGTAAGATGATAAGACTTATAAACTGAGAAACTGCATATCATACCTAGTATTGCCACTGCTACTGAAATTTTGTTAGACATACAGAAATATATTTCTTACCATATGTTAAAATAGTTTAAATGTTTCATTGCTGTTCAAGTTAAAATAATCATAAAGTGAAAACAAGTTACTGAATTTATTCCATTAATAGTCACACACAATTTCCAAAGAACAGAATAGCTGTGAATATTATGAACATATATGTATTTGAACACAGGATAGATCATGTAATTAAAGAAAAACATTTATAAATAATACAAGATTAGTGTATATTTTTAGAACAAACACTAATTAGCATAACTTCTTGTAAAACTGAATTGGCATTTACCCAGTAGACTGGATGTAACTTTGATGCTGTAAAATAAGTTATAGGAAAAACTTGGCTGTTTTAATATTAATTGTGACTATTATTGAATAAATTTGGTATAAACACCACCCTCTAATAGAGAACAGTTGTAAGATGAAAAAGTTATAGACAGCAAACTGTTTACAGTATTTGCCCCCCATTTTTTAATAGTATCAGTAAAATTTTATATAATGGATTTTTATGAATTAATTCAATCATATTTTATAATCACTGTTAAATTTCATTTCAAATGGATTCAACTATCCAAATAATTATAAAAAGTTTTTATCACTTTCATATTCTATGTAGGAAATATTAAAATTAATATTTATTCATTTTAAATATAATAATTACCATATTAGTAACTTTAGTGAAACCAAGTGAAAGTGTATATGTGAAATATACAGATTATTGATATTGTTACAGTAGTGCAAAAATTGATTTATGTTTGTTGTAATTTTAACTTTAAAATAATTATACAAATTTCAACTTCATTCAACTAGCTTTAAAATATTTTATTTTTATCATTATTAAAAAATAAAAGGAGCTAATTATTTTGAAAAAGAAAAAAAATGTTTGTGTATAACACATACATGCGCACTTATAAATTTTTATACTTTCAGTAATTAAAGGCTCTATTGCAGGGGTGGTCAAAACTTGGCGCACTGGAGGAATACAAGTGGCGCTTCAGTCGGTTCCGAGCAACAGTGCCAGATTTGGCTTCATTACATAGGAAATTAATTTTTTACAGTGTGTCTTGGCAAGTGTATTTCCCATACAATTCGGTGCAATCGAACTGTTGACCTTTTTTTTTTTTTTTGCTTGTACATTACACGATGCATTCGTGTTCATGTACACCACTGATGTCATACAGAACTATTTTATACGGGTAGCTACACTACAACCACATTTTTCATTGCTTGTTCTTTGGCAAATCTGAATTTTCGTCTTATAAATTGAAATACTTAAATAAGGGGTGGCCGAAATTTTTCTCCGCCCCGGGCTGCTAACACTCATGGTACGCCACTGCGCATGTGAACTCGTCTATCAAAAAATTGGCGCATGGTATGCAAAAGGTTGGCTCTATTGTACTGTACATTCTTAAATTCCAAACAAAGTAATAATATTCTTTTAAAGTATATTTTAGAACTATTTCATATGTATAAAAATTATCGATTTTATTTTATATCAATACATTGACATTAATTATATAAATTACTCTGAACTATTTATGATTTTCCTAGTTTATAGTAATTGAATTTAATTAATTTAAATATATAAAATATGTTTAACCATTAATAGATAATAAAATTTTTTTTAAGTACAAAAGAATAATTTGAACAAATTCAAAATATAAAAAAAAATAAATAAATATATGTACAATTAAAGAGGATTTAAAAAATTACTTTAATATAAAAATACTAAAATGTTAAGTAAGAGAATGTATCTCCAAGCTATGTGCATGTGAAAGATAAAAGGTTAATCGATTACATTCATATAAAATTAACAATGCTAATAAAATAACATTGAAAAGCTAAATCTAAACCCTTTAATATGTCATTTGTTTAAATCCTCTAAATTGTTAATAATAATGTATAAATCATAAAATTAATATTTTAATTAGTATTAATTTCATTCATTAAGTGTTTTGGGCTTTAAGTATTATTATCTACATAACTACTAAATAATTCAATTATAAAATAATTTTAAAATATTTAATACTTTAATTTAAATGATCAGAAGGCGTCTCAAAATTAATTAAAAACAATTCAAATTGTTTTTCACTTTTTTTAATATCTTGTTATTAATGATTTTAAATCTTAATTAAAATGATAAAAAATAATTCTCTTAATATATATATTAATTTTCAGTCATTTTTATCTAAAGATTAAACATTATAGATATTTCATATAATTATCTGAGTAGTTCTATTTTCAATTTTTGTTAAATTTTCCTGTAAATTTAGTTTTAAAGAATTAATGTTTACATAAAAACATATAGATTGTAAAGAAATCATGTTCTGTCAATTTGTAAGATTGCTGTTGTTCAAATAGAAAATAGCTAATAAATCTGCATGAACATAGGTTTTTCTAACAATCAATATGATCAACTTGCAATTGTCAAAAACATTAAATTTCATTCTTAAAAATTTATTCTTAAAAAAGTTTAAATGTATGTTAAGAAAATCAATTGAGCTTATTGAGTAATGTTTGTGATGCCAATTAAATATGCAGAATAAAAAGTCTGAACATCTTGAAATTGTCCCATTTAATATTTTTTAAGATGCAAGCTGAAGTACTGAACACTGTGTTTGAAAGAGAAATTTCAAGAGATTTTACAATGCCGTTAGCATGCTGATCTAAGCACCAAAGGCAGAATTAACATTAAAAAAGGTGCAAGCATATTAGCTCTTATGAGAGCTCTTGTATGAGAACGTTTGTATTTTAAACATGATTGGTGAATTTTTACAGAAAAGTATATACATTATGTAAATCATTTTTTACAGTCACAATTTGGAATGCCGTACATAATATCTAAGTAGTTCCTAGCATCCATTCATATTCCATCCATATGATTTTGTGACTGTTTTATCGAAATGAATAGCACAATTCTACATAAAAAAGTGTAATCAAAGTATCACCAATTCTTCCCTGTATCATACCAATACTTTCTTGAATATCTTATATCATTACTCTAGTTAACTCTCTTTTACAATATTAAACATTTGTATTAAATTTTTTAACTTAAAAATACAAATAAAAAATTATTTTTTAAAAAAATAGTCACTCTGTGTTTTTGTTGAAAATTTTCCTAATAGAAGACATAATTTTGGAAGAATTTTTAACTTTTTTCTTCTATTCAATATTATCCAGATATCTGATGACTGTTTCAGTCAAAATCATGTTATTTTTAATATTTATAAAAACAATATATAAAAATTTATAAACTGTAGAATTGAGCTCTCCTCATTTGTTCCTCCTACATTTTTTTATTATATATATGTATATATATATTTTTTTTTATAAATTTCTAGTTATAAATGCTACAATTTTAAAAGAAATGATATAAGCATTCTCTCTCTCTAATTTAAAATCAGCTATCTGGATAATAATATATTGCAAAAAATAAAAGAATAGCCTTAATTTTGCCTTTACCTAACAACCAAAAAGCAGCACAGATGAAAGCTTGTATTGACTATGAGTAGAATCACTCAAGATTCCAATCCATACATCCATGTCATCATTTGATTTTGCAATCATTGTTCACTTCATCCATACAAGATATGTGTACCAAGCAAAAACTGGTACCACATTTCCTGAGCAGAAAATTTTAATTATTTTACTAGCAAAGTTTTAGTCATTGGAACAGCCACTTGGTTGGAGTTTATAGTTTCTCCCTGATTTTCCTAAGTATCTGATACAGCTATTATCCATTCCTTCTGCAAATGTGTAATATATGTCAAGACAATATGGCAGTGTTGTGTCGAGGGATAGTCATATTATCCAAACTTGACCATTTTTTCAAACCATTCCGATGTAATTCAGCTAATTTGTCACCACAAACCCTGGACATAGCCTGAAAAAACAATATAGATAAATAGAAATCAATTAATTCTTAAATTGATTACACTAATTATAACAATAATATTTATATTACTGGTAATTATTGTTTAAATATAAGTCTTACCAAAAAAACTATTAATTGAGCCATTCACAAGCCAAATCAATTAACTTCACATTTCAAATTTTTTTTTTTTAATTTTAGTGTGAAAGTACTTTAAGTAGCCTAATCATAACTTTTTATATTCATAATAAGTTTTCCTAATAATAAGGATTGATACCACTTAATGACAAAATTTTATTGGCCATCGAAAAAAATCTTTATTTCAGAAGCAAACCTAATTAACTCCATACTATAACATTAATCCACCAGCACACACTGCAATTGCAATGCTGCAGTGTGCACTGGCCAGTGCTTTGTAGATAACAGTAAATTATTTAATGTTATCTCATCACAAAAAGTAAGTAAAAGAAATTAGTTAGTTACAGTCCAACTGTCACAGAAGTATACTTATGGAATATTAAATAATTGTTTTAATTTTGGTGACAATTTTTTTAGAAAAAAAGAAAAGTTATACCTGTTATATCAAGACAGATAAAACTAAAAATAATTTTTTTCATTCCTCCTATTAAACACGATTCTTATAAAAATTTAAGAAGAAATTGACACAATGAGACCTCAAATATAGCTGACAAAGAAGACATCATTTATGTTGCTGAATAATCAATTTAAACAAAATAACAACAACCATTGTAACAGAATAGTTATTCATTTTTGCAAAAATCTTTAATAAAAAATGTATCCTAATGTGAAGACTGAATTTGATGTTATTACATTTTTCAACTGTCAAATCTATTAAGTCCCTCAATCACACCAAAATCGTAAAGATAATAACGATGATAGCATAGCTATGTAATCTTATACATTTTATGTCATTAAATAAAAGCTACATCCACAATAATACATTCTACAATGTTTATTTGAATTTATATTTTACAAAAAATTTTAAAAAACAACATATATTGCTTTGTCACTTTTCTCCACTTTTTGTTTTATGGAGTTAATCGATTCGGCAAGTGAGCGGCACAATTATTAATCAAATCAAATAACATTGTTAATATAATTTTATAGCTTGTCACATTAAAAAAAAAAAACATTTTATATTTATAACTAAAACAGTTATTTTAAGATATCAAAGTAAAAATTTATTATAGGTTCCAAACAAATGTTCCATAACAGACACTGTGGAAAGATTGGAAATTTTATAACTTTTGTAGCTGCCAAAAATCTTAATTTTATTATTAAAATATATAGTATATTAATATTTTAGCTTATACTTATTTAAATTTTAACTTAGGTTGTTGTTGTTTTTTTATGTATGTATGTATATATATTAAAAATAAAATACAGTAACCACCTAAGTTAATGAGTTAAACAGGCTGATGCATAAAAAATATTACCAAACCATTATAAACACAAATGAGAATGTTACTGTGTGCAATACAGAGCTGTGGAGTCAGAGTAAAAAAAAAATTCTGGCCAGAGGAGTTGGAGTCAGAATCAGGAATAATGTATCAACTCTGACATTTCTCTCTCTCTTTTTTTTTGTTTTGTTTTTTACAGAAAAATTTTTCAAGTTTACTATTGGAAATTGGCAAAATGCAGTTTCTTGATATGAAGACTCTCAGGTAAATAAACTGGGGTCTCAGGCAATGGTTTAAATTGGAAAATTGACAAAGGTGGTTTATTTGTATGAAGTTTCTCATGCTATTCAGTACGTTAGAACCATACATAAGTCAACAACAAAACAGAGACAGAGATAAAGATGAATAAAGATAAGATAACATATATTAATTAATTAAACAAATTCTTCTTTACAATTAAGGAGAGTTTTTGTGGTATTTCTCAGAAAATAAAATATTTACAAAAGTTTGGATAAAACTCAATATATTTTGGGTTATTGACCCACATTCAGGGCAGGATTGGCATTGGAGTCAGCCTATTAAAATTATCAGGAGTTGGAATCGAGTGTTTTTTTATGAACTCCACAGTCTTGGTGAATAAATAAATGTTATATAGTAGTAATATTTTATCTGCTACCTATAGTATAACCTCATTATTTCAATATCAGATAATTCAAAGTATCATGTAATTTGAAGTCAAGTCTAGTCCTAAGCCAAGAGAATAGGATTTTGCATATACAGTGGTACCTCGGTATACGTCTGCTTTAGAATACGTCCAATTCGGAATACATCCTGTTTGGACAAAACAAATTTTGCTCGGTATA